ACACACACACACACACACCACACACACACCACACACCACACACACACGCACGCACGCCACGCACGCACGCACGCACGCACGCACGCGCGCGCCGCGCGCGCGCGGCGCGACAACAGTCTGCAAGCTACAGAACATTGATTTCCTGTCATGGCTGCAGGACGTATGATCACCCCTTGTCCAACAAGACCGCTCTCTCTGTCTGTGTCTCCCTCTCTTTCCTACCCCTTTCTCTCCCTCCTTCTCCTTCTCTATTTCCTCCCCAAATTCTTTCTCTTTTCCACACTGGTCGGCAAACACTGCGATATAAATTGCTGAATTCTGGGAAGATAAGCTGAGAGGAATATATCGCGCTGATAGTATTATTGCGCTAATAATCATCTAGGGCGTTCGAGATTTTCTCGTCTGCATGGTCTCGGTGATAACGTGATAAACACACACGCGCACGCACGCACGCACGCACGCCACACACACACATATCTATCTATCTATCTATCTATATATATATATATATCTCTCTCTCTCTCTCTCTCTCTCTCTCGCAATATATACATATATATATATTATATATATATATCAAGAGTAGATAATAGAGAATTATTATCTACTATTATCTAAAATATAGTAAAATCTCTATTATCTACTATTGATATTGATTTATATATATATATATATATATGTATACGTTCGTTTAAGTGAGTTCACCATCGAATCTTCACTACCCCTTCTACACTCGACGTACGCTGTTTTATGCTTAACGCCTAATAATTCCGTTATAAAAGTTAACACAACGCACAGACAGCAAATCTGATCCTAACGATAAAACTAGCCGAGGCTAATATTTCAGTGTGTGGGTGTTGCTATCCGGACCAAACCTTACAGTCTGTAGGCCGCAGTACGGCCAAAGGTGGTATAGAGAGGTATTAGTAGTAAGTAGTTAGTAGTTAGTGCGTTGTTACCTGGTGGATGCATTGACGTTGGCTCCTCGTTTCAGGAGTTCGTTAATGATGGCTTCATGGCCTTCCTTAGAGGCCAGAATGGCAAGGCGTTCAACCCATTCTGAAATAGAAATATTCGCTTCGTTGTTGCAACGTGTTCAATCGAATGTGAATGAAAAGGATAAGATAAATCGCATTTCTAATATATAATTTCGCGGGCGGAATTGTGTTAGGATAATGATACGATATCCCTGAATATACATCACAGCGTTCGTCTTCAAATTAGAGTGTTTCACTGCACGTCCCTCACCCATCCGATCTTCCATCGAAATCGTAAAGTCTAGTCCTTATAATTCAGCAGGTTATATCCTGATGTCGTCGGAGCGGAACTCACGTCCTAAGAATTTTTTACCGTGGGGTTCTGTGCTCTCGATAATTTTTCCGGTTCTTGTCGAATGGGCAGAATACAAGTTGTTTTCGGAAAGAAAATTCTCTCAAGATGTTCATTGTTAACGCGGGGGCCCGGGAAACACTCAATGATTAATACATTGTCAGAACTGACAGCACAGATTTAGACGATTATGAGCAATTAGTCGAGGAGCTCTCAGGAAGGGACATTTTAAGGTTGGTCCCGGCGGGCGGACGCGGGCTTTTCGCCTTAAACCTGTTCCATGAGGAGACTTTAAGTGAGTTCGTTAGCGCGGTCATATCGGGTTAGCTATAGTAGTATTAGGCATCGCGCATACTCGGTGTGCTATTTACTACACCCTAAGCGCATAGACGTCACCCGTATCTAATCATTTCACGGTACGTTCTCGCTTCGTACTTAGAGATAGACCGTGGCGATGGCTAGTAGTTGCATTAAAAGTTCCCAGAATACGCTCCGTTGGTGGAGGCGGATTTCACTTTAACTAAGTCGGGCATAGAACTATACTAAAATAGTATTCCAATTATAGGTTATATAAAAACAGTTTAATTATATTTAATTTAGAAAAGCTAATGACATAGTCAGTCACCATAAAGATGAATGCTGTGTGTATGCTCGTATCTCAACCTAATCACATAAATTATTCGTCCCACATTATTCAATTTGGGACACGCGGAAAAACATAGAGGTATTTTTTGTTGGGGCCTTAGTTTAAAACGGTATCGCATGCGGCACAAAGCCATGGATCCCGGGTTACGAGAGAGAGCAATGTGTGGGACAGGTAGAGTCTGGTCAAGGACTTGGCAAGTTGTGTTGATGGGCAGTTGAGCTATAATTATTGAAGAGGGTGTGGGCCCATGGCGATATTCCTTGAGTCTTAGATATAGACGGATGATTAAGATGTTTGTTGAAGAAAAGCGGCACTTGATGGAGCGCTCCTTACCACGGTGCCGCTGATAAGGACCGAGTGCCAATTACAGTAGCCGGCTGTACAACTTCGCCAGTATAGAAAAGACGACCAACGGCGGGTGGAGTGCGCTGTAGATGTCTGGAGGGATCACAAGAGTTAGTTCGCTGAAGGGAGGATTTTATGGTGGTTTAATATTGGAAGTGGCTACCACTAGACTTATTTACAACGAGACAAAGTTACGTAGGACCGGAGGTTGTTGTGAAGGAGGATGACTGCGGTTAAGAGCGAAGTGTTCTTCGGGACTGCAACTTTTCAGAGACTAACGGATTAGGACCGTTATCATGGTTGTGGAAGAGCGTGGGATGCAACAACGGTGGGGCATTTTCCGTTTTAGAAGATTGGCAGAAATAGGAAGAGGAGAAGCAAGATAGAAGAGGACGAGGGAGAGGGTGAGGAGTGAGGTCGAACAACTTGGTTTAATTGTAATGGGGTGTTGCATGAGTATCGTGGGTGTAACGTACTAGCATTACTGTGTTGTGCACTCGATATTCCAGATGTCTCTCCCTTCGATCGGGGTATTCCAATACCTTCTGCGCAGTTCGGTTAACTTTGGGTGCCATTTTTGACACGATTTGTGCGCTTGCCCTAAGGAAGCTTAGCGTTTTCCTTTCACTGGCGTGCAACAAAAAACACAGCGAACATTTAATTATAAATGCACTATTATTATGAACGCGTACTTTTATAACAGCCTGATGTTTTGCCTAGGGATGGCCCGTGGTGCTCCTACTGATGATGATTGATAGTGATAGGAGATAAATAACGATCGACCGATTAGCTCGACAGACCCTGTGAACGGGCAGCGACAACAGTGACGATATATATACATATGATGATGATAATGGTAAACAGTGAAGGAACTGTAAGGAACGTTGAAAGGTACTGAAGGAGAGACGGACGGGGTAAGGTTAGATTCGACACACGCACGCACGTATGTATGAACGCACGTACACACACAGACGCACGCACACACGCACACAGTTAGTTTAGTTCCAACTCGACAATTCGCGGTATAGCCAGCGGTTATCGGTCGGATATCCGGGATCCTACATACGGGATCATCAAAGGAAAAGCCAACATAAGACACTTTCACGAATTTTCACCGGGTTAGAATAGGGTTGTTGTTTCGCCGTCGTCATTGTCGTCGTCGTCGTTGCCTGTTGTTGCTGCTGCTGCTGCTCCCCTTGCCTACACCCCAACTTTTTCCTTCTCTCTCGCTACACCCCACCTTCTTCCTCTCCCCTACACACCACCACCCCCACCCACCACATCTTCCACCCACCCCAAGCACCTCCCCCATTCCCACACCACAAGTGCTCTTCTTGTGCGCGGCACGCCGGCATCCCCTCTCGGCGTTACCAAGGAAACAACGGGCACCAATCGGTGCGCCGAGCGAGAAGTTAGGAAGTGCGGAACAATATTGTTTCAGGAGCTTGCGCTGGCGACTAACCAACTGGTAACCCAAGCAAAACACGAACCACGGACGAAGCTGAACCTAGTAAAACAGGTCGCGGCGCGAACACGTGTCCAGTAACGTAAAAAATGTTCACGCTGAGAAGATGTGTTTGATATAATACGCAGCGCTACTCTGAATTGGGTTTACCCCACGCTGCTTGTGTGCAGGGGTCATGTCATTATAGAGAAGAGTCTCCATTCCAGCAACGTTCCCCTTATTCCGAAGGTTACCGTGTCTGATATATGAAGCCACTCTCTGGATGAGGTTAGCCCCTACGCTGCTAGTGTCGATGCGCTGTTAGTAAATTGTGCCCCCATGCCAGTGAGCGTCACTTCACATGGCAATATCAGCGACCGGGCAGCCACACACAGCCACCTTACAGTACCTCAGGCACACACTCACGCACACACGTACGAACACACGCACGCACGAACACACGCACGCGCCATCTTATTGTGTCTAGCTATATCGTCATTACAAAGCAGTTAATATTAGGATGACCACCGGTGTCATTTCAATTCGAAGCGATAATTTTCGAAATACACACACACACACACATACGTCAAAGATGGAGTGCAGCGTAGCTCACGTCGTCAGTAATAAGGGTGAAGGTTTCACACCGTGACTAACGAAGGTATATCCAGTCATATACAGTATACCCGCGCGCGACCACATACACACACGCTCACATACATGCACGCACGCAAACGCACACGAAAACAAACCTCACACGTATGCCTAGCAGTACACGCTGGTTAGAAATTCTCCTCCAATATTGCCATGTACACTCTTGCCAGGGCACGTGCAGAAGAATAGGTGGCAGGAGGTATCAGAATACTGTTATCCTATGTATCTAACCCCCATCCCCATCCAAACACTAACGTATTGTTGCTATACTTCCAACCTTCCATTACCACAGCCCTACCCCCGCTATTGTTTCTATACCTTAACCTTTCTCTCTACACACCTACGCCCATTATTGTCCCTATACCCCAATCCTCCTCTCTATACCCCTACCCCCACCGTTGTTCCTACAACAGCTGTGGCAATTCGTTAGCTCTCTCTCGAACACAATTTGCGACTAGCGGTAATTCCGTATTTATTGCCGATATGTCGCACCGACTGTACCCGATGGCTCCCGAACTAACTCAAAAATGGACGCGATGGTAGCGCCGAAGCGATGCTTTGCAGGCGGGCTTTTCTGTCATCACTAGAGCAGCAAGGAAGCAGGCGGCTTCTGATCACGTGGTAGGGAATGCTGGGAAATCTAAACGACTTCTGCACGCTAAAACACAACTCTACACCACTGATCTAGATATAAACCGTTTATATGTAGATCAATTATAGATATTTCTATATATATATATATTTATATATATATATATATATATGTATACGTTCGTTTAAGTGAGTTCACCATCGAATCTTCACTACCCCTTCTACACTCGACGTACGCTGGTTATGCTTAACGCCTAATAATTCCGTTATAAAACGTTAACACAACGCACAGACAGCAAATCTGATCCTACATAAAACTAGCCCGACTAAATATTTCAGTGTGTGCTTGCTATCCCGGACCAAACCTTACAGTCTGTACGGCCCAGTACGGGCCAAAGGTGGTAGAGAGGTATTAGTAGTAAGTAGTTAGTAGTAGTGCGTTGTTACCTTGGTGGATGCATTGACGTTGGCTCCTCGTTTCAGGAGTTCGTTAATGATGGCTTCATGGCCTTCCTTAGAGGCCAGATGCAAGGCGTTCAACCCATTCTGAAATAGAAATATTCGCTTCGTTGTTGCAACGTGTTCAATCGAATGTGAAATGAAAGGATAAGATAAATCGCATTTCTAAATATAATTTCGCGGGCGGAATTGTGTTAGGATAATGATACGATATCCCTGAATATACATCACAGCGTTCGTCTTCAAATTAGAGTGTTTCACTGCACGTCCCTCACCCATCCATCTTCCATCGAAATCGTAAAGTCTAGTCTATAATTCAGATTTATTCAGCCTCGGGTGTCAATTCCCGTAATAACAGTAGGAAAATTCTCTCAGATAGTCTGAAGCGCGAAAACCATGAAAACAGTCAGAACTGACAGACAGACGATTATGGATTAGTGACGTCAGAGAGTTAGGGACGCGCACGCCTTAAACCTGTTCCATGAGGGACAGTGTCGTGTGGGACGCACGGTTAACCTACATCTACACATACCTACTCGATGCACAGGAGCCTCTGCTGTAGTTGCAAGTTCCATACGGTATTACTAGTGCATGTATACTATGTATTCCATTATAGGTTATAAAACGTTTATTATTAATTAGAAGCTTGACATAGTCGTCACCATAACGTGACCTGTGTTTCAATAAACGCATTTATGGAGGAAATGGGTCCCTGGCACAGCCATGTGGGGGACAGCAATGTGGTAGGTGGTAGGATGGGGGGCTTAGAAGAGGAGCGTAGAGGGGGAGGGGCTGTGAAGGGGGAGAGCGACACGGGGGAGTGCTGTGGAGGATCAGGAGCCGAGAGAATGGTGGTTAGGAGAGGCTGAATTACAAGACAAAGTTACTAGGAGGAGGGTTGTGAAGGAGGATGACTGGAGGAAGTGTGTGGATGAGAAATAAGATGGACTTACAGGTTGTGGAAGAGGTGGGTGGAGGATGGAGAAAAGGAAGAGGAGAAGAAGAATAAGAAGAAGGACGAGGAGAGGGTGAGGAGGAGGGTAAGTTAATGGGTGCATGATATGTGTACTTACAGCATTACTGGTGTTAATGTCAGTGCTCCCCTTCAGGTATTCCAATACCTTCTCCAGGTTGCCATTGCGAGCTGCCCTAAGGAAGCTAGCGTTTCCTTCACTCTGCAACAAAAAAACACAGCGAACCATTAATTATAAATGCACATATTATTATGAACGCGTATTTATAACAGCTGATGTTTGCTAGATGGCGTTGGTGCTCCTACTGATGATGATGATAGTGATGAGGATGATAATAACGATGACGAAGACTACGACGATGACGACGACAACAGTGACGACGACAGCGATGACGACGACTACGACAATGATGATGACGATGATGATGACGATGATGATGACGAATTCGCTCGTCCCTGTGTGTTCTCTGTGTTGCAATTCCACACCTTGTTCGTTGCTATTTCAAGCAGGAAGCTGTTACAAAATAAACTGTGTCGTCGTCTCCGTGGAGATCTTACTGTACAGATGTTCTGCGCCGTTGAGACGGCCTGTTTCGTGCGGTGTGTTGTGTGTGTGATGTGCGGGCGCGCGCGCTGTCGTGTTAATGTGTATGTGGTGTGAATATAGCCCCGTCGGTGTTGGGTCCGGTGTGTGGTCTCGGCGGCCACTGGCAGTCACTGCGATTGGCGATGAGTGAGACTGGAGAGAGAACGGGGGCGGGAGAGTAGAGGAGTGGAGGAGGGAGAGGCAAAGAGAGCCGGAGTGAGGCACGGAGAGCGGAGTGAAAGAAGGAAGCCAGCGAGAGCGTCGGCGACTGGAGAGAGGGAGGACAGACTGCGGAAGTCCGACGAGAGATAAAGATGGAGAAAAGGGAGAGCGCGTAGAACGCAGTTAGAGGGCACGCGAGGCCTCAGAGGCGCATGGCGGGAACGATCGACGG